AGGCGAATTAGATATATTATTTCCGCGGAGATCGGCACGACCGTGCGCAACAGTATTAAATTACCGGGCGTCTTACGCATTTTAACTCGACTTTTCGGCCGCGAGGATTTCCGCCGTACGAGACTTAATTAGGCCGCGACAACTAAAGAAATCTCTCGAATGCGCCGGTAACTACTTTACGCACGCCCGTGAATCCGCTTCGATATAGTAGAAAATTCTAGATTGTGCGACTCGAATTGGCCCGTTGGTCCGGCTCGCGGTAAGCCGATGTATGTCTCGATAACAATGACGATGACCTTTACGTTGAAATGCCGAAGATACAACACGAATAGCTCGCGGAAACTAATAGCGGGCTCAAAGACACCCGATAGAGTTCTTGCACAAATTTTTAGGATTTCGCTTTATCCTGACTCCAATTTCTTACAATACATACAAGATACGCGCTAACAATACACAGAAATAATACGGAAACTATCGATACGACTGTGGTGTACGAGTCGTATGACGCAATACTTTGCGCGATCCGGAATATCGATCGCGCGAGCGTGAAAATCCCGATACTTTACAACACGTACTAATTACAAACGCGAGACTAACATTAATGATTGTCGGCGGCGGCGAAATGAATAGAGAGAGCCTATTATATCTAATTCGGATGAGCGACGTGTGCCCGTCGGCCGTGCGACGTAATCTACCAAAAATATTCACAAAGTTAATTCACCAAAACGCGTGGCTCGACAACTATTAAGGGCGCGACTCATCCGAATCAATTACCTACAGATAAACGGCAACAAAATCGGTTGGCGACGCTCGTTCCACCGGTCGGAAGCTTTCGATCGTCCTTCCTGTTCGATAATTCGGATCCGCTCTACGAGGCCTGCGTCCTTCTCGCTATCTCGCCGAACAGTGCCGAGCGAGAGTCCTGCAGGAGACACGCCGGCGCGATAAATCGCTATCGCGCCACTTGTGGCGCTTTCGCATTACGCAGGGCCGTCCTGCGATCCTTGCGATCCTTGTGGTCGTCACGGCCGTATCGGTGGGCTCACCGCCCCGAAATTTCTAAATTCGATGGTTGCTTGACTGGCAGATGCGGAATTCCGGCAGCGTCCGATCGGCTCTCTTTCCTATCTTGTAGAATAGGTCCATGGTCGAGAGTCCTCTCGCCGCTCCATCCTTGGGACTCCTTCGCTTCGCCCGATCGGGTCATTCGACCCTTGTGACGGACGTCCCAAAAACGTCACGTCACAATTTATATGTTATTAATACAAATGTCAGAAATCGACGTCTTGTGAATGTGATATATCAACTATTGACGCCATTTTCGGGTTTTATGAGACCTAGCTTAGGACATCTAATTGATCATTTTGTGACCAAAATTCACCGTCATTTTGCTATTTGGGTTTGAGATCCTTTAAATTTATTTAAATGCACCATTTTATATGAATGGCCAAAAGTTGCAGATTCTGCTCGGTTTCTGCTATCAATCTGCCGTCAGTTTGCGCGCGCGCAGATCTTGCTCGGTTTTTGCCATCAATCTGACGTCAAATCATGTTAGCAGATCCTGCTCGATTTCTGCTGCCAATCTGCTCCCAGATTCTGTGAGCAGGCTCTGCTGGCAGATCATTAGTTTAATGCGGACATAACAGATGCCAAATTGGTAGCAAAAGCTGAGCAAATCTGTTGCCAATCTGCTGGCATATTGCGCGCATTTTGCTTACTGGGTCGTTTATTCTCAAAACGTGATTCTTCTAACGATGGTATTTTTGTGGATTAAATTAATTTCTTAATAATTATTACGAAAACCGCAAAATGGTAAAGGACTTTTCTTCTCGGTTTCATCTGCTCTACCTGCACATGGCGGGTGATCCGCGAATTATGGGACACCCTGTATACAATATATATTTATATAATTTACATACCTGAAAACTTGCCGTTGAGTAAAATCTTAAACATATTAATAATTGCACAATAGGAAGTATTGGCAAGCCTCGATTGTTTATTTTAGCAAGTCCTTCTTCTACTAAAGGTAAAATGCCTAGTATTACTGAATTTTTGGAAAATCGAAATCTTCGTTTAAACTCCCATTCACTATAGAATTCAAAAGGATTTTGATAATCACGAAGATATCGTTTAGGAGCACGTATTGGTATCTCCTCTACTACCTCCTCATCACTTGAAAAATTTAATTCATCCATTTCCAGATTATTTGGATTTTCCATTGATGCTGATTATATTAGTTTTAAATACAGCAATTATATTGCGGAGTCTAATCTCCGAAAAGAAATTTTCAGAATGTTCCTGCGAAAGATCAAGATTAACATCAACTGATTGCGATGTACCAACAATGTGATAGCATAATTTTTTATTTTAATTACCTTACGTTTTTGAACCGTCAGTCCTTTCTTGCTGAATCTCGATATTGTTCATAAAAAATACGATTTATCGTGCACAAACATATATTTTACAAGTATATTGCAAATAAGACGTCCTCGGACACGTCTTGGCGAAGATTGTCTTATTTATCAATGTGTGCGTGAAATAAGATGGTCTTAAAAGACTATGAATTCATGATTAACAAGGTAGTCTTAATCCCATGCTTAAATGTGTTTATGAATCACATTAAGACGTTTCCAAATAAGATCATCTTAAACAAGGTACGCCTTGAGAGTTTACTTAAATCCCGCCTTCTTTTTTGGCTATGAATCTAGAGGGCGTCTTAAGACCAAACTTAAGATAGTCTTAAGAACAAGTTCCCACTATGAATACGGCCCTTAAGTCTTACTGCTTAAGTTTTTCTATGTGCCTCGGCCCTAAAGGTAACATTTCATGAGCAGTGAAAAGCAGCAGCAGTTTAGAAAATAACTAGAATCGGTGACGTACTTCCGGCACAAGTTTTTGCTGCATGAAATATTTCTGTACCATTTCCGAACATTACAGTATTTCAGCAATATTACATGCCGAGTGGGATATGTATATATGCAAATATAAAATTCTCAAAAAATAGGCGCCTGTTAGCCTTGTTGCGCTACTGCTTTTTGCTACGAGAGGCCAAAAAGCATTTTCAGGCCGTATCTCGGCCGTAAAGCGATACGCTAGAGGAACAAGGATAACGTGTGATCGTTGATCCTTTTCTATCTTTCCTCTCCACGATGCGTCCACGCGAGCAATGCAATCGTGTGTGTACGTATACGGACATACACCTCTACATAAAAATCGAGAATTTATTTCTCAGATTGGTTATCCTCATAGATATATAGACTGGATTGAGCATTGCGAGATAAACAAACGCGCGCCCGCTGTAGAAAGAGAGTCAACATCTTTTTCATCTGTTCTTCGATTATTTTGTCGTCCATTTTATAATATCACATCGATAGGATAATATATGATAAACTAGGGGCATTATATATAGAATAATGTGTGAAAACTTCTTTTTGAGTCATATGGAAAAGGATGGGGGGACCCGAGCGGAATCGAACCTTGAATCTCTCTCGATTACCAGCCTGCGACTCTATACGTCCGGCGCTACGCACCGCCCCATATATATTTTTTGACATTCCAGACATATGCTTATGCGTGAAGATTTAGGCCGGTATTCATAGTCAGTTCTTATTTCAAGACCGTCTTAAGTAATGTCTTAAAATGCTAATACGGCTCTGTGATTGGTTTAGGACATCTTAAGATTGTGCTTAAGACGGTCTTAAATATAAAAACTGGCTATGAATACCGGCCTAAGACCGTCTTAAGCACAATCTTAAGATATAATAATAAGGGAGCCGTATCTACGTATACGGTATTGAGTATCTCGCCATGTTCTCCCCACTTTGCCCGCTTATGCGCGAACCGACTCGGTTCAACCGAGATCATACTCTTTTTGGATAGAGTATAGACCGAGTGTTGAGGAGTGAGGGCCAAGGTGCACGTAGAAAAGGACATACTCTGTTCCGTGCCCGTTGCGTTCTTTCTCACTCGCATGTAGCATAGCGAAAGAGTACGCTATGCTACGTGCGAGCGAGAGAGAACGCAAGGAGCACGAAACAGAGTATGTCCTTTTCTATGTGCATCTTTACCTCCACTCTTTAAATAAAGGCAAACGCTCGGTCTAGATATATTATGTCTATGGCATTAACCAATTAGAATAAAGAAATCTTTACTCTCTTTGCGCTGATTGGTCAATTAAACGCTTCAAAGCATTTTTAGCGTCTTTCGCCCATGTTCACCGAGCGTCGTTTTATCTTCGTTATTTACTGAAAGTTAAACAAAGATAAAACGACGCTCGTGTGCACACGGATGACGTTCTCGAACGCACCCCAGCCAATGTCAGACAAAACCACTGACTGCACATATTGCAATTTATTTTATTTGTGAGTGCCAGTGAATATGTACAATTCAAAGAGCGAAGTACATACATCAGAATCGCATTGCATATAGATTCCGTTCTATTGTAAATTTCCTGATCAGATCGTGTTGAATCGTGTGTATCATTAACGAAGTGAATGTATCGTTGATAGCTTTAACAAAACGCAATTTCAAAATCATACATTAATCGTATAGATAATTGCGTTAAAGTTGCATTATGGATAAGAAGACCGAAGAAGATCGAAGAGGTAATTTTCAAACGGTAGTGCGCCACATTCTCTTCTTGAATCACAAATAAACAAGAAATAATATACAAAGAATAATGTGCTATGATATGTGCTACGGTATCATGTAAATGTCTACTTTTTGTATCGTAACCTTATATCTTTTCTTGTAATGATGTTGTAAACATGAATGAGGTTTGTTATTTTAAGCTGGATTGGAATAGAGAGAGAGAATAAAATAAAATAGAAATATATTCAAAAATTGTAAACAAAAGAGGAAAAACGAAAAGTGCAAAAAGTTCAGCCAAGAATAACAAACTTGTCTTGTGCAAACTAACTTCTGAATCTGGCATGTATTAGAATAAGATGTGCGGGATTTATTTAAACAGCTCATAAAATGTTGTTTGAAGATAAAATTTGTTTACAAGATTAGCATATTAAATAGAACAACTACATTATTGAGCGATTTTCTCTAAATGATTTTTTGGTCGAACGATAGAAAATAATTATCATTTAATTAACATTGTTATTTTTTCTATAATTCCATATCTTGGAAATTGTAAACATATAGAAAACTTGTAAATAATCTTTATAAGCCACTTTCAACATAAAAATAATATGCACATAAATTTCATGATTATTAAAAATATTTATTATTAGAATACAATACATAGTTTGAATGTATTGTATACCAAGTTTTTTTTCTGTTCTAGACGATAATTTACATGAAGAAAAACAAAACGTTTCTTCTGAATCATCGGAAATAGAGAATTCTGAAATGGAAAGATTACGTAGATATCTAATTCAGAAGTTAAGACTTGTTGATTTGTCAACGAGTAATCAAAATGATCAGCCGCAACAAAGAGTTCTTTGTGAACTTAGCTTAGATGGAATTGTCGAATATATTAAAGAAAAACCAGATTGCAAAATCATTACTATGGCAGGTGCTGGAATCTCTACCTGTTAGTATACATATATTTAAAGACATGTTCATATAACTTCTATAATAGATTTCTTCCATTTCTAGTTTAAAATAATTTTTTCAATTTATTTTAATATTTATTGTTTTTTACTATTTTTTAAAATATTTTATCAGATATGCATATTTTTTATTTTCTTGTAATCAATGGCAGTTATATATAATTGTTATGTTTAGATTTGTCATATATCATTGGTTATATAAAATGATAGAATATATTAATGCTAATATTATATATGAATGTATAACAAATATGTACATAAGTAATGTTTATATTTTTTAGCTGCTGGAATACCAGATTTTCGATCTCCATCTAGTGGACTTTATCATAAATTAGACAAATATAATTTACCTTATCCGCAGGCTATTTTTGAGTTAGATTTTTTTATGAAGAATCCAGAACCATTCTTCACACTTGCAAGAGAATTGTTGCCAGAAGGGTTTCGACCTACAATAAGTCATTACTTTATCCGTCTGCTATGGGAAAAAGGTCTACTACTACGACATTATACACAGAATATTGATACACTGGAACGTATAGCTGGATTACCTTCTGAGAAATTAGTAGAAGCTCATGGAACATTTCATACTGGTCGCTGTCTTAAATGCCGAGCGCCATATATGCTTCCATGGATGAAAGGTATATTTACCCATATTACCCATAGAATTGTGTGATTTAGAATTTGAGATATATTATAGCTTATATTATGAAGCTTCAATAGTTAATTATATATTAATAGTATAATTAATAATAATACTATAATTATTAACTATAGTATTTAATAGTATTATATGTGTGTGTATGTGTGTGTTCTTACATTTATATACAACTTTAACTTAATTTTATTGTTTTTGTAAATTAATATATAACACTATTTTTGAATATGTGAAACTGAATGTTTTAATGTGGAAGTATAGCACTATTTTTGGCTTTTGAGTAGATTGGACTTTCCAAAAAAATCTACAAATAAGATATTAGCAAGATATTAATTTCAAAAAATACTTATTATATGACTTTAAATTATAGAAAAAATCCTAGAAGGTATGATACCAAAATGCGAAGAATGTAATGAAGGTGTTGTAAAACCTGACATAGTTTTTTTTGGTGAAGTGTTACCTGAACGTTTTCAAGTACTTGCTGATCAAGATTTTGTACAAGCTGATCTTTTAATTATTATGGGATCAAGTTTGGTAGTACAACCTTTTGCATCATTAATAGACAGGTATGCATAAATATGAAAAACAATATTTTTAAAAATTGTAGGATATCGTATACAGGATGTATACAAGCGCATACAGAATCCATATTTTAATTCTCTGTATCAAAAAAGTAAGTTTTTCTTTTTTTTTCTTTTCTGGCAAAATTGCGTCTGTAATAGTTTTTAATCTTTTGCGGTCCGGACTGTTTCCGATATTTCGTATCAATAGATCTACGCACAATTCAGTTATTTCCATTTATACTATACAGTTTGTATATTTTTTATATTTCAGTAATCTCTTGGATTACATAAAATGTATAAAAGAAAGAGAAAAGTCGTACAAAAGTATATGCGCAATCATAATATTACGAGAAATATTTTCGAGATTGCTAGAATGTTTGTAAATAGTCATAAATTCCGAACTAGATTCGACATAGAACTGACTGAAATGAAATATGATGTTAAGTCAGACTCGACATAGGATCGCAAAGAGTTAAGGAAAGCTTAAAATAGACGAATAATTGCTCTTACAAGAAAAGGGTCGGAATTGTGTGTGTCCGTCACTGATTTTGATGGACTTGGATATGTCTCAACTAAAAATAAAAGATACATTTTTTGTAGGCGTTCTCGCATGTTTAGAAATTAAAACAATTCTTTGAAATTAATTCAGTATATCTGATTTCTATTGAATATCATAAACGTTGTGTGATATATGAAAAAATATTTTAGACACAAGTTTTACGATATTTTATGTACTTCATAACTGCACATTTAGATTTTTCAAAAATATCATTTTTCAATATATTCCCCTGTTATTGTTTGAGCAGATTTAAAAATATGTATTAGAACAAAAAGCAAAGAGAGCGTTTAATGCCAAATCTATGTGTTATAACATTGCTCTACAAAATCGCATTTTTGAGAAATTAATTTTAAACATTATATATGCCTATGTATGTGTTGCGCTTATGCTGCACAATATGCAATAACAACTTCTCCTACCTCATACCCTACACTGTAAAATGACCACAAGCTAAATATTTTTAATTGTATGTCTGCATAATGTATGACATATTTTACAACATAATGATAAACGATTTGTATATGCATAAGGAAATAATACTGTCATTTTATATCGACATTATTTTTATTCTTTATTTTTTGTTTTATTAAAGAAAAAACACATTGAATTTTTTGATACAATCAAGGAGTTGTTTCAACACACGAAAAACGTGTAAGAAATATGCGTTTTTTATCATATGTTCTATAACATATCTGAGATTTTATCGATAGCATATATATTTTATCGATAGGATATAAATATATGATATCAATAAACTCGGCAATGAAATGAAAAAGAATCTTAAGGTTTTTTTAGAATAAATAATATAATTTATAAATAGCAATAATGAATTTATCTATATTATATTCGTAATCGTTTACAGAGAGGATTTTATTTTTGTTAAAATATTCATAAAATCTGCAGTTTGTCTTATCCAATAGAATAGATGTTGGTATTCATATAATATCAGCCGGCAGCAGAAAAAATTAATGCAGTTTAAGAAATCTTTCGATTTTTTTGACAATTTTTACTTCATTGATAGCTTTATTGATATCATTTCGATAAAATATATGCTACTGATAAAATTTTGTATATATATATAGAAGTATTGAACATAAAAAACACGTTTCTTACAGTGTTTTTTATGCGTTGAAATAATTTTTCGATTGCATCAAAAAATTTTGGTAAATATCTTCTTCAACATATAAGGTGTTTTAAAAAGATATTAAAAAATTTAAATTTCTCTGGTCAAAACAAGAAAAAAATATTTCTTATAAATATGTATCTGAAAATGCTTTGTTTCTGAAATACAGGGTAAAGAAATATTAAAAAATAATGTTTTTCCAAATATCTCTTTAAAGTAAGTGTGTCTTTCTTTGCAATTTCTGTGAACAATGCATCTAAGCAACTATTTAATCTTAGTAGAAACTTGATTTCTTAATGCAGTGGTGTATTTTAGGGGTAAAACAAAAATTTTATTTCTAACTATCTAACTACACGTACAAAAATTGCAACAATAATATTAAAAAAGTAAGCTCCAAAAGTAATCCAGATTATGACCTTCTACTAATACTATACATTTGTAAAATTTCAAATTTTAATGTATAACGATTATAATTTTATTCACAAAAAGCACTTATTTGGCCACATTTTTTAGGGGCTGTATTTTAGAAACTGAACATTTCTAGATACATGTTGTTACGAACATTTTTTCCTATTTTGACCTGAGAAATCTCTCCTTAAATTCTTTTAACATTTTTTTGAAACTCTATATATAATGAAAAATAAAGAATAAAAATACGTTACTATTTTTTTACTACATATGCAAATTGTCTATTATTATGTCATAAAATATGTTATATATTATGCATACACGCAATTAGAAATATTCAGTTTGTGGTCATTTTACAGTATGGGGCATGAGGTAGGAGAAGCTGTTGTTGCATATTGTGTGATATAAGCGTAACATATAGGCATATATAATACATTTAAAATTAATTTCTCAAAAATACGATTTTACAAAGCAATGTTATAATACATAGTTGTGGTGTTAAACGCTCTCTTTGCCTTTTGTTTTAATACAATTTTTTAAATCTGCAGAATTAATAATGGAGGATAGGGATATATATATATATGTATATATATACAGGGTGTCCCACCAAAAGTGGCCACCCCCTTTTATTTTTTAAACTAAAAGAGATAGACCATAACAAATATATATTAAATTAAATAGTTCAAACTGAACTCTATTGTGAGCATAATGGTTGATTTCAAAAGCTATTTGTGTTAACGAACGGAGAGGTATGCATAATTCTTTTATAATAATGTGAATATTTCGATATGATAAAAGTTGTAGCATTATTTGAAATGAATACAACGATGTATGATATAATGTAAATATTTTACATATTATACGAGTTTTATCGATTTGAAATATCGCGGGCGACATTTACCTTTTCATTTTCGGCCCTGCGATATGGCCAACTTCGGATTAAGTATTATGATCAAATGACAACATGATATATGTCAATCTCTAATGCACGAGTCAGATCATACCGACTATCATATACCACTATCATACTATATATTTGTTATGGTCTATTTCTTTTAGTTTAAAAGATAAAAAGGGGTGGCCACTTTTGGTGGGACACTGTATATATATACACATACAGGATGGGCCATTTTAATTAATCCACTGAAATATTTCAGAGCCCTTAAGTTTAAGACAAAAATGTTTCAGACAAAAGATGTTTAGTATTGAGGGGGTCATCTGAGGGTGATCTTCATTTGACCTTGGATCAAAGTCCAAAAGGTTATTTCAAGGTCAACTTTATTTTTTTAGATGGAATCCCCTATTTTTTATTGTATATTCTTATAACCCTTCTTGAGATGAAAAAATCTATAGTGGATTAATTATATATAATTATAAATAATTTTGATTATAAATAATTTTGTAAGAGATTCATAATATTATATAATATAAGGGGATTCAAAATCTGCTTAGCGATTTTACACAAATAAATATGAATTATACTCGAAAATGTGTCTCCTTGCCAACACTTAAACTATCTAAAAAGTTTCGTTAATAATTCTTTCTTCATATTATCATTATCGTTACATTATTATATCAGTATATTTTCGGCAATATCTAGTTTTCATGTTTTATGCATTTTACTTTATATATATAATGTTAAATTTTTTTTTTTTTAAGAGTGCGAGCTACTTGTCCACGTCTGCTTATCAACAATGAAAAAGTAGGTATGCAAGATCGTTTATCGCGTTTCTTAGGACTACGGCAGGGTTTAATGTTTGATACCAAGAATGCGCAAGGAGGACGCGATATAGCTTGGCTCGGTGATTGCAACACAGGTTGTCAACTACTGGCGGATAAACTTGGCTGGGGGGTAAAATTTTTATATTATATACATATTCTTATTGTTTATTTTCTGTTGTTTTATTATATACGGGATATAATTAATATCTGCACGTTTTCATCTTTTTGTTTTTGTTTAAATATAAATAAAACTCGTTTTTATATATACAAAGGTAATAAATAATATAATCATAATTTTAGGATGAATTGCAAACTCTTATGCAAAAAGAACATGACAATTTAGATATAAAAAACCAAAATGACAATTAATTCGTAATGATTGAATATTACTAATAATGGGAAAAGATTTTCTCTAAGAAGAAAAAGAAGTCATTTTATTGGCACATTTTATTTTATCTTAAGAATATACTATACGAAATTTTAATTAAGGTAGGTAATAAAACATTGTTGAAATACTAGATAATATCTGCAATGCAATTATTTAAAAATGTATATATGTTGATTTATTTTATTATTTCTTATAAGTAAATAATTAAACAATAATGTTAATGTGTAATCTTAATGTAGCATTAGGAATTACCAATGACTCAGGCCTTCCTAATTATCTCATTTGATTTCTGAACTGTATAAAAAATTCAAATATGAAAACATGGGTTTTGCGGTAAAATCATTGGACATGGAAAATAAGAACATAGAAGAATATATTTTGTTCTTATGGATACTTTAAATATTTTATTTATGTTTCTGAAAATATCCATTATTAAATAAAAATAAAATAATATGGTGATAGTCTATATATTTATTCTGTGCTTTTATAATATTCTTTATTTACGAAGTGAGTAAACATTTAAGACTCCTGACTCCTGAGTCGACGCGGCCATATTGGAATGATGACGTCAGAAGCGAGAAATGACTATAGACTTATATAATAGACTGAACATCTCCGTAAGAGGAGCTGAATACTACATGAGAAAGAGAGAGTAACAATGTCCGAGATGCTGTTTCTTTCTAATACGAGAGTTGGTGGGGGACTTGGCGAACGCATTGGAGGAGGACGAGGTTCGCCGACTGGGCCATCTTTCCCCTTTTCTCTACATGTCCGAGAAGGAAAACATACCGGACTGACTATATATATATATATACATATATATGTATAAATTTACTATACTATTATCTACAAAAATCATATGTTTAGAAAACGTCCTGAGAACTGCAGGTCCATATATTTGGCCCCTCATTTACAATAAAATACAAAAACATTGATATATCCGGATTGTACATCGTTTGTACATGAATGTACTATGATTTTTAGTGTTTGTACATTCTTAGTTAATTAAAAAAGAAATAAAAATATTTTATTAACAAGACTTCTAAAAGTTAGCCCCTCATTATTTCAAAAATAATGATAAATCACAGTTTATTGTGCTTAATCGTTTATACATCATTTGTACATTCTTAGCAATTGATTTATTTTTTATTTAAATATTTCTTTTTTTGTTTAAATGCTACGGGTATCGCGTGGCCTTCGTTCGTAGTTCCAACGGCCTGACTACCTTATCCTTAGAAGGACGGGGCATCGGCACTTTCTGCAGTCTACCCTTAGAAGGGCTAGCGCGCTTGTGTAATCTGAAGGCCGTGCGTATAGGTGGAGTTGGCGCGACACTGACGGAAATCGTAATAAGGCTCTACAATTATAATGCGCGGTATATACAGTGCGGTCTTATGGTACAAACGGGTCGCGGGATATACAAGGCGATACTAGAGTCTATTAGAGCACGGAGACCAAAGCGGTCTTATGATATAAACAGGTCGCGATATATAGAAACGATGCTAGAGTCCCTTAGGACGCGGAGACCAAAGCGGTCTTACGGTACAAACAGGTCGCGGTATATACAAAACGGTTTTACGGTATAACGCGGTACGGACTTATCAACTAGCAGGAGGCGCCGTCCCAGCAACCGGGAAGCCCGGCCTAACTACGGGAAGCTTGTAGCCTGGTATAACGCGGGATATCAGGATGCGCCGTCCCGGCAACCGGGAAGCCTGGCCTAACTACGGGAAGCCCGTAGCCCGGTGTAACCAGGGATGCCAGTTTTGAGACTCTGCCCGTTGCCGTAGCGTGGGAAGGGATAACACATACAAGGAAAAAGCCGTTATCGCTACTTCAATCAAGCCGATTGTTCCGTCGCTCACGGAATCGCGCCTCCCTTCCAGTGATGCAAACTCTGCGGTTTCTGGCCGCTACCAGCGCATGTAGAGGGGGTAGCGCACACAAGGAACGAGTCCTGTACGTGTGCGCTCGGCGCTAGGGCAGAATCGGGTAGTAGAAGAGAACAGATATACAATGCGCTGTCTCTTTCTTTCTCGAGCGCGAGCTATAGCTATAGCTATAGCTGCGATATCGAGAATACACGTAGCGGCTTGCGTATTATATGCGTACTCGTCTATTCAATCCTCGTATAAAAATGTATAAAAATTACAAATAAAATAAATCTAACAATTATTTTTAATCTTATAATTATTTTACACATCAAAAATGTTAATTAAATAAAAAGAGCGTAAATGATAGGAATCCCACTGTCGGCCAACATGTCCGTCTTTTCTTTACGAAATCAATTGTTATTAATTTAAAAAGTCGATTCGATGTTAAAAAATTAAATAAAAAATTAAATTATATGTCACGTGTTCCAAATAATTTATTTTATTATTTATCTTTTTTATAAATAGTCAACGTACATGTTGTTGCTCAACGGAAACCGCGGGAAGGTCTCTTCCGTCAGGAGAAAATGTAAAAAAATATTTTTTTACATTTTCAAAGAATGCAGATAGAGTATAGGATAGAAGAAAGGATAGACATTGAGTAAATATAAAAATTAAGCTGCTTTAAGCATGCGGATTTTTCAATTTTTGCTTCCTCATAGAGGAAGCTTTGTGAGCGAAATAAAAATTAAAAAGATTTCTTTCACCGATCCTCACTAAATTCAATATCAAACATCCTTTAATAATACTCTATTCATGTAAAAAAATTTAATTTGTTACCTCAAATTTTCTGAAAGTTACAGCGTTTACAGATATTTCTCAAAAAATTCAAAATTTTATAAAAAATAAACCCTTTCACCGATACTCA